AAACTATAAGAAAATTTTCTTTCCAACCTAATAAAATTTAACCCTTTGACTCTCGGTCAAATTTAAAATTATATATATACAAAGTTAATGGACTTTAACATTAATTTAATCAAAATTAATTTAATCAATAAACCGTAAGAAAACTTTCTTTCTAAAATTTAACTCTAACTAAAATTCTTTCTAACTAAAATTTAACTTTGACTCTCGATCAAATTTAAAATTATATATACGAAGTCAATGGAATTTAATTCAATCAAAAATAATAATAAACTATAAGAAAATTTTCTTTCCAATCTAATAAAATTTAATTAGCTTTCCAAACCATAAGAAAATTTTCTTTCCAACCTAATAAAATTTAATTACCTTTCCAAACCATAAGAAAATTTTTCTTTCCAACCTAATAAAATTTAACCCTTTGACTCTCGGTCAAATTTAAAATTATATATACGAAGTCAATGGAATTTAATTCAATCAAAAATAACAATAAACCGTAAGAAAATTTTCTTTCCAACCTAATAAAATTTAATTACCTTTTGCTTTCCAAACCATAAGAAAATTTTCTTTCCAACCTAATAAAATTTAACCCTTTGCTCTCCAACCCTTTGACCCTCGGTCAAATTTAAAATTATATATATACAAAGTTAATGGAATTTAACATTAATTTAATCAAAATTAATTTAATCAATAAACCGTAAGAAAACTTTCTTTCTAAAATTTAACCCTTTGCTCTCCAACCCTTTGACTCTCGGTCAAATTTAAAATTATATATACGAAGTCAATGGAATTAAATTCAATCAAAAATAACAATAAACCGTAAGAAAATTTTCTTTCCAATATAATAAAATTTAATTACCTTTCCAAACCATAAGAAAATTTTCTTTCCAACCTAATAAAATTTAACCCTTTGATTCTCGGTCAAATTTAAAATTATATATACGAAGTCAATGGAATTAAATTTAATTAAAAATAACAATAAACCGTAAGAAAATTTTCTTTCCAATCTAATAAAATTTAATCCTTTGCTCTCCAACCCTTTGACTCTCGATCATCACTGGGATTGATGGTAACTTGAACGGCGACAATATTTATTTATGTTTGATTTTTTTGGAATATCGCTTCATAAATAGGTTCCTAAGCTCTTTACGTGTAATCTTATGAGAATAATATATTGTTAAACGGCTAGATTTTTTATCTAAAATTAGACCGTGATCGCGAGTCGAACGACATCTTCGGTCGTGGGAATAGAAATATTATTTTCAAAGTTTTTGAGATTTGTAAGCATACGATAATAAAATTATATATTTTAAGCGAAGATGAGTTTGATTTTTCCTTATTGAATGACAAAATTATTATTCTATTCGTAAAGAAATTAACGATAGAGAAAGCAATGATGAACATAGACACGAAATAAGAGGTATAAGAAGGCGAAAAATGAGAATGATAGCGAATGTGAAAGCAATAATTCAAGCGAAAATAAAACTCAGAAAATTCTAAATGGATAACACAGAATCGAAAAATACATCACGAGGAATACAATTTGTATCCGGCGAAAAATTTGCAAATATCTTCGAATATAAATGAACCATTAAATTTTCTTAAACTTAAATTTCTTACCGATGAACTTATTGAATATGAAATAGCGCGCGAAACAAACAATTATGCGATAAAAAAAGTTAGAAGGAAGAGTTTACTATTGCTCCACTTGCCCTGACAAACCATAGGATAATGCATCTTGATAATTGCTTCACAAAATATCACACAAAATATAGATTTCGATATTCGATAAATTTTCTTTATATTTAAAGATACATACGAAATATTAAAATATAAAAACTTCATGCGTTAATTCGTGCGTGAAATCATTATAAATTAGCTGTAAGAAATTCCACCAAACGCGGACGGGGTCCGGAGTTGCACCGAGCGAAACAGGCCTGGGGTGCAAAGGGTTAAAAGATATTCGGATAAAATGTTCACCTCGCAACTGGCCGATCAACGCCTCCTGACTCGATATATTCCCGCTCGCCGTGCTTATGCTCCTGTTCGCGCTGATCAGCTTGTCCCTCAACTCGTTCAACTCCCTCTCAGCGGCCCTGTACCGCATCTCGAGGCACTCCTTGTCCTTTTCCAAATCAACGAACCAACCTTATCCTCTCGTCACATTTCATTCATATATATATATATATATATTCTACATATATATATTCATATATAGAATANTATATATGAATATATATATATACACCTGTTTGAGACGGTCCAAATCGACGGATTGGGAGGACGCCTGGCGCTGTAGCTGCTCCTTCTCGGCCACTGCGCGGTCCAAGGCGTCCCTGCACCCCCTGAACTCCACCTCCAGAGCGGCCATCTGCGATTCAACGCCCGTGTTCCTCGCCCGAAGGCGGCTCGCCTCGTGCACCAACTCCTCCACCTTTTGGCTCACCAACTCGGGGCTTGGATGGACGGATTCCCGATACTCCACGGTCAGCGCGCCCGCCAATTTCCCGGCGAACTCCTTCTCCCCCCACCCCCCATACGGATACACGCACGTTCGAGTACATCGACAATTTAACGGTTTAACGCGTTGACTGCCGCGTCACCCATATTCGGGCTTAAAATTATACATACAAAGTGAATGGAATTTAATATTAAGTTGATCGAGAAAGAAAGAAAAAGTAAGTAAGAAAACTTTCTTTCAATATTTTGTGACGCTTATTTGACTACTTGTGAAGGGTCTTCGTGGGAAAGATATTCCACACAGGGTGTAATAAAACTGTTAAATTATAAAAATAATAATTTAGTAATAAAAATAATTTAAAATAAAAATAATTTATTAATTAATTAATAATAAAAAAAAAAATTATTTTCAATGTAAAACGTTTTAAAATATTTTATACAAAGCTGAGAATTGATTCGGATAATTTGGGCAAAAAGTTGTTGTCTTTTTTAAATTCCTTTGCGTTTGGTTCGTTTTCGTCGTCTTTTATCTGAATAACATAATTTGCATGCTGTCTAATACTTATATCAGAATTATTTTTCCGAATTATTATGTTGACTCCGTTAAAGGTTTTGACAAAGTTTTGTTGTATTATTCGGATAATTTTGCAGCTAATAATTCTCTAAATCTTTCAATTTTGGGGTGTCACGAGTCTGATGGTGATACGACAATTTAGATGTGTTTATGAACACATCGTGCTCTGACTATCGGACACGATTATCTGATACTGATAATTTATATGTAATCCGCAACTAGGAAGTATATTTGTTACGATTAGTCGAAGGGCATTCGACAGATATTATCCAAATTATAATTCAAATTATTCAAATTAAAATATTCAAAATATACTATATAAATCAATACTATTATCAATAATAATAAATTATCCAAATTAAAATATCCAAAATATATTATATAAATCAGTACTATTCAATATTATTATCGATAAAAAAGTATATTTGTTACGATTAGTCGAAGGATATTCGACAATCATATTATCCAAATTATCTAAATTAAAATATCCAAAATATACCATATAAATCAGTATTACTATTCAATACTATTATCAATAAAAAAATATATATTTGTTATGACTAGTCGAAGGGTATTCGACAGTCATATTATAATCCAAATTATAATCAAAATTATCCAAATTAAAATATCCAAAATATATTAAATCAGTACTACTATTCAATACTATTAACAATAAAAAAGTATATTTCTTATGACTAGTCGAAGAGTATTATCCAAATTATAATCCAAATTATCCAAATTAAAATATCCAAAATATACTATATAAATCAATACTACTGTCATATAATTCAATACTATTGTCAATAAAAAAGTATATTTGTTACTAGTCGACAGTCATATTATCCAAATTAAAATATCCAAAATATATTATATAAATCAGTATTACTATTCAATACTATTGTCAATAAAAAAATATATTTCTTACGACTAGTCAAAGAATATTCGACAGTCATATTATTCAAATTATCCAAATTAAAATATCCAAAATACACTATATAAATCAGTACTACTATTCAATACTATTGCCAATTACAATTACTATAATCAATACTTTTATCACGCGAACAATAATGATGGAAACAAATGATGCGAGACATCATTCTTGCGACTATCGTAAAATATCGGTAGAAGTACTGGAGTACGCTCGATACGGCGTCGCGCCTGAAGGAGATTTCGCTAGAAAGACGCGCGGCAGTCGACGTGTTAATCGAGACTTTAATCGAGATCGAAACCTGAAAACTGGAACGGGCGCGCTCCTTCGATTCCCTCTCGTCCGACGCCTCCCGCTCCAATTGGCGTATCCTCTTCTCGCATTCACGAACCTTTTCCTCGTGATACCTCGAGTCTCGTTCCAAGCTTTGCAACGCGATCTCGCTCCTCCCTTGGGCGGCGTAAAGATTCCTCTCCCGCTCCTCTGATTCCTGTTTTTTTTTTGTCGATTCAGGAGAAGAGAAAAAATTTGTTATTTTCAGGAGCAAGTTTATTTTCAATTCAGTTCGTGTGGAGATTGAATAGATAGTAATTATAGTACAGTCTGAGAGAAGAATGGAATATCGAGAAATTCTTCGAAATTGTGAAAAATCGTGAAAAAAAATAGGTAGGTAGGTAGGTAGGTAGGTAGGTAGGTAGGTAGAGAGAGAGAGAGAGAGAGAGAGAGAGAGAGAGAGAGAGAGAGAGAGAGAGAGAGAGAGAGAGAGANNAGAGAGAGAGAGAGAGAGAGAGAGAGAGAGAGAGAGAGAGAGAGGAATAAAAATTTGTTAAGTGTATGAAATTTTCAAGTGTGTAAATTGTTGGTGGAAAGGACAACCTGTATTCGTTTCTTTAAACTCGAAACGATGGAATTCTGCCTGGCCGCTTGTTCTCGAAGTTGATCAGCCTCCAGTTGCAGTTCCACGACTCGTTGATCCCGGGATCTCGCGATATTCTTAGTCTCTTGGAGCTGAAGCAGAGTCGAAGGATTGTGATGACCCATCAGGGGTTGAGAAAGTAAAGTTAAAAATTTCGAGCAAATTTACTTATCTCGATATACTCGAGCAACGTTTATTCAAGCTATTATCGTATACAACCTTTGCCACGCTCCAATTATTTCCTATACATCGTTGTTTTTACGTTTTTTCCGACGTAATTAATTATCGAAGCGACTTCGTAACTTCGACCATTAAATTTACCCCATCACCGAGATCCATTTACCTCGGACATCAGCCTGTCCCGTTTATATTCGAGGGCTGCTATCTCGCTCCTCAACGTGGTAATTAAGTCGTGGGTCATCGCCTCTTCCTTGAACGATTACATTCAACAGACATTTCGATTAATAATATCTCCTAATAATTCGTATGGATGCGAAGCATTCGTGACAAGCGTGTTAAAAGCAAGCTAGTTTAAACGTGTATTTACGTGAATTTTCAACATTGCATCATTATTACAAGTAAAAAAATTCCGTCGGTTTTATTTTTACGCGCTCGATCGATATTCTATCCTCGCCGTGCCATCTGTACATTCTAATCTCGCGTGATTATTTCGCGACGATTCGAAAAAAGATTCCGATAATGAAAACTCAAAAAAAAAAAGAAAAGAAAAATTCAAAAAGTTCTTAAAAGTTTAGGAAAAGGAAAAAATGAAATAAAAATTTTCGATGATCTCTTTCGCGTGACACAAAAAACTTACGTTCCTTACGTTCGTTTAAATGCATGTATTTATTATTACGCCTCCCCGTGAGTTTCAACGTGAATTTCCACTCTACTTTATCGATTATCGATATGGCGATTGAAAGTAAAGAGAAATTAAGTAAAAAAAAAAAAAAAAAGCCGATTTTACATTTTGGCGCGCGTAGACGCGAAAGGAACCGAGGATGGACGAGGGTAGACGAAGGAGAGGGCGACTGATAAAGGCGACAGGTAGAATCGATTCTATGCCAACGCTATGGCAACCGAGCCAACCCTTGTTTCAACGCGCCAGTCAATACGTTTAAGAAACGCGACACGAATAGTGTTATGTAGGTACATATCGAGCAGGCACATTGACAACGAAGTAACGTGAAGTGTATTTCTCTATTTATCGAATCGTGCGTCGACGAGTTTAATTAAAATTCGATCCCCCCTTCGAAAGGAATAAATTCGTCAAAAATTCGTGTTTTTCTTCGTTCGAAGAGTACGTACACGAAAAAAAAAAAAAAAGAGAAAGAAAAAGAAAAAAAAAACACGCCGAATACACGCGTTTGTTCGTCAAGTAAATCATTTATCGAGAAGGAAATAAAATAAAATTGGCAAATTTCGTTTTCTTTCTCCATCTCTATCTTTCTCGTAGAGGAAATTTTCGTGCATTAATCACAAACTGGACGTCGAAATAATATAAAATAATGTAGAAAGCAATAGTAGTGCGTATAGCGATTCGATGATAATAAAAAATAAAGAAAAAAGGTGCATCTGTGGTCAGACGGATAAGACCTTTCCGGGCGACGATATACAAAGCGTTTCGAATATCTGCAGATCCTCTTCGGCAGTCTCCTTTCCTTCTTTCGTCGTCTCCCTGATTTCCTTCGTTTCTTCCTCGCTCGACATCTTTTTTCAACTTTTTCTCTCTCTATCTTTCTCTCTCTCTCTTTCTTTCTTCCTATCTCCCTCTTTCTCTATCTATTAATCTATCTCTCTCTCGCTCGCTCTCGCTCTCGCTCTCTCTTTCTCTCTCGCTCTCTGAAATGCTTTCACCTTGAACACTATACAACTAGGAGCGTTCGTTCCACGATTTCGCGCGAGCGTTTTAAAAAAATGTCCTTTTCTTCATTGACATTGTTATTCAAATTTCTTTGGAGTTTATATATGAACTCGGAACGTTCGAGAATGAGTGAAAACGTTTCCAACCGAAGACGAGGCGTCGATGCGCAACAAACCGCGCTGTTTAGCATCCCCCTCGCGCGCAAACCTCGACCAAGACAATCGAATTTCATCGATCCATGGGAACGAACCTTCGTTCTTTTCCAATTTTTATCAAATCGTATATCTCGATTATTGTTAATTTCTTTTTTTCTTTTTCTTTTCTTTCGCGCTCTGTACATACGTTTCAAATATATCATCAGTCGAATGATAATTTTTCAGTTGAATAGAATTATACGAAAATATTTAAATGTTACGTTTAATGAAACGTGAAAGATTTTACATTTCTTTACATTACTTGCAAAATTTATTTATCTGTTCCCAATCGATAAAATCTATAAAATTTCTTATAAACATATAATTATAATTGATTCACAGTATGATAAAATTATTACGAAAGAAAAAAATCAGTTTCTTCTCTCTCTCTCTCTCTCTCTCTCTCTCTCTCTCTCTCTCTCTCTCTCTCTCTCGTAATCTATTTCATCAGTTTCAGTTTGAAATCATCGAAGCGATAACGAAATACGAATCATGAGAATGTATTTTAGATAAATAATAATCGCTGTAATTCAATGATTCATTCGATAATATTTCTATACAAATTTTAAAAATGTTATTTTATATACTTTTTATTGTATGCGTAATGTAATATTGTTGTAACATTCACGAATAGAATATATAATTCAAAATTTTCTTATAAACAATATTTATAATTGAACAATAATAATGACGCGATATTTATAAAAGGTTCACGATTATAATTTCATGATTGATCTTTATTACTTAGATTTAACTAATCTTTAGTCACCATTCAGGTATTAAAATTGAACAAAAGGATGTAAAGTTTGTATTATAAATTTATAGCTGTAATAACTTCATATCACTACAATAAATATGATCATGAATTAGTCGATAAGGAAAATTTTGTAACTAAAAAAAAAAAAAAAAAAAAAAATTAAATGTTCATATGTCACTATATAAACGTGAGTAATTTTTATAACAATACAACAACAGAAAATATATAAAGTGCAAAAATGTTGTTCGGTAAAAATATTCTTGTATTTATATTTACTCATTTTGCAACAATTATAGCTGATCTCGTGACAAATCCGGTAAATATTATAATATATATTGTAGGTTTCACTTTCATTTTAATATTATTATATATAATAATATAGTTAATTTTTTATAGAAACTTATAGATTCAAAAACCGTTGTGTCTCTACTCGGTAAAAATGAAAATTAAAGCCATAATTGTATAATTATTTATTTATTATGTTCATTTATCGGATTTATTTATATTTAAAGAAATAATAAAGAAAATATCTTTAAAAATATTAATGAATGTGATATGAATACCAATATAAATACCAATTTTTATCCACTAAATGTTAGTACTACTGTATCGTAGTTTTAATTTAAGAATACACAAATTCTTTTATCATTTCCGTCATTTCCTATATTATCGATTTTCACCATTTCTGGAGCGCATAAATTTAGCAAAGCAAAGAGAGAAAATAGTGGAGACGGAGATAAAAATATTTATATCAATGCCTCAAATGAAATACATATATAACGAATAAAAAAAAAAGTGAGAAATATGAATATAATAGAATAAGAAATAGACTGCGCCGTCTCTTGTATGTCGAAGAAATCTCTTAAAAGAATCATCTTTAAAAGCGAACAAGAGGTGGCACTGATTCTCAGTTCTAATTCTAAAATATTCTCCTTTTGAGAAAATGTTTTTAATATTAAAGAGATGGCGTTGATGGCACATTTTTATCTTTCATTATATTTTGTTCTTTCTGTGTGTTTCATGTGCGGTATTCTTGAGATGGTTTTTAATTTTATCCTATCTTTGTCTTTTTACATTTTACAGTTTCAAGAATGAATAATAAAAATAAATTTTTTAATTAATTATATAAAGATTTAATTGCGCATACAACCAATTAGTTCATGTTATTTATTATATAATTTATATAATTTTATAATTGCATTACGATTATTAGCTATATATGTACTATATAATACGATTATATAAAAATTATATATCAAATAAATCATAATCGAATAAATGTTTTCCAAGTTTCATCGCATGGAAGTTACTGCGGATTAAACATCTTAAAAAACATAAATAATAAACAAAAAGAATAAATTATTATCCTTAAAGAATTATTTAAATATTATTCTAAAAAAATTAATATATCTTCAATTATAACAATAATATTTTTTATCAATTATGACAATAATAAATAATACAATAAATAACTGAACAAACATATATTAAAATAGTAATATAAAAAGTAAGAGAATAACTATAAAATAAATATTATATAAATATTATAAGTAAGTCATAGATTTGAATTAAAGCGTTTAATCATCATAAATTTCAAATAAAATAATATCTACATAGTAATTCGATATATCGAATTACAAATTGAAAAAGGGATATGCTTAATTATTTAACAAACGAAACGATACAAATACGAACAATCAATTTTTTGAAAAACTTGAATTATAAGAAATGTTTTCAGCTTTGAGATTTTGAGCATTAAAGTTAAAACAAATATACACATAGAAATGATATACAATGTACGAATATATGAATAAACACACTTAGAAATATGTAAGAATACATATTAAATATGTATATAAGAATTGATTATAATGATTTAACTATTTTCATTTATGATTGAATAAAAAAATATAGGAAATTTATATTTATTAATTATGTTTAAAATTTTATTTCGCATAAAAATAATCAAATTAATTACTCATTAGCATACAAAAATTATTATTTTCGAAACTCCAATCAAATAATAATATGCATAGATGACAAGTTTAAAACATTATCTTAATTACTACATTAACAATCTCTAATTATATAAGTTTAAATAATCATAATATAATAATCTATCAATAAAAATTTTATGTAATTATGCATATCAATTGATAAAATGCAACTTATAATCACAATTTTCAATTATAAACTGATGATATGCGCATCATGATGCGCATTGATTCATCTTTGCGATTTAACAGCTTTTTGATTGATTAGAACAGTGCAGTTCCTTATTTCATATCCGCGCGAAAATTAAAATATTTACTATCATATAATTAAAAAAAATATAACATTTTAAGTATGAGTTCAAATTGCGCACAATTAAAAAATTAAACTTTATCGTTTTTTCATCCATGTTGAAATTTTTCCCACTTTTGAAATTATAATAGCAATTAATCTATATAATCTATATAAAAAAAAAAAATAAAAATTTTCAAGTAAACATAAATTAAATAATTAAAATAAAACAATAATCAAGCAAAAATTTTATTTTAAAAAAATAAAAAAAAAAAAATAAAATTATCTTGTAAAATAAAAAATAATTGAAAATTGAAAATTAATAAGAAATTTTTTTATATTGAAAAAAATAAATAATAAATAATATAGACATGATATAGATAAAAGATAAAAACAAATATAATATAATATATATTATATATATTATAAATAGATATATTTAAAGATTTAAAAAAAATTTTTAAATCTATTATATATAATTATTATATATTATATATTCGTTTCAATTTCAGTAAAAGATATTTAAGATATATTTTAAATATGTTTATTTTTATGAAAAAAAATAAAATGTTATTTAATATATAAGAAAATTATCTTTCAATATTCTGATAATCAAACAATGATTTGAAAAAATAAAAATCAAGACCATGAAACAAATGTGTAAAATTAAAATTATAATTAAATATAATAAAACAGTAACTAAACTGAATAATAATACATATTGGTAACCTCAAGTGTAAATATAAAAAAAGCAAAAAAAACTTAAAAAAATAATTAATTTCATTATCGCAATGTTTAAAAAATAAACTATCACTCGTGTCAAAAAACATGTAGCTTATTATATTGCTATATTCGTAAATAGTATAATGAAAAAATAACAGCTTTTGATGCTACAATTATTTTTTATACTGAATGATAATATCATATATGACAAAAAAATAATAAAAGAATCAGGTGATTACATTTCTGTGACATGAAAAAGTATTGCATATCATGTCTATTCTATATTTCATCTGTGGTTTAATATTCACTTATGTCGATAAGTAAATTTTCAACAAGTGTGGCAGCCATTTTTAGTCAAATCTAATGAAATTATTATTTTTATCATATCATTTTTTGACATTTTAAGTTTTTATTGTGCTTGATTTATAGCTTATAAATAATATATGTTCCAATTAAAGGATATTAATGAAAATAAAATAATAAATAGTGTTAATCTAAAGTTAGATCGTAATCGTATTTTAATTAAATAAGATATAATTTCTTAGAATTTAGATTTTTGTAAATAAAACAAGTGATTTAAAAGACAGGTTGAACATACATATATTTTATTATATATTTCATCAATAATTTGTGTCAAATTAACATTTATCGTGATCTTAATTTTCTTTGTGATAACAGTCTGATAATGGGCAATGCTGGAAGTAATCAACCAGTTGGACATCACCACACAAGTAATACAAATAGAGAGCATCGTCATGTTAAAGAATATCCTCCACCTTCACCAGGGAAGGAAGGCCAAGCTTTTGTTTTTGATAAAAAACCAAGCCAAAAATTAGTTTTCCAATCATCTCATGAAGAAGAAGAACCTTATTTTGCTAAAGTATTTTTAATTATATTTTATTATATTCAATAATCAGTTCAGTTCATTATATTAAATAAAATATAAAAATACGAAGAGAATTTTGCTCAAAGAATTTTTATTATTTTTATTAATAATAGAGTAACGCTCATCAAGATGGAGATGATTTTACTTCTCAACGTCCTCGTTCAAATACAGTATCCGAAGGTACTAAAGTAACAGATAGTAAAGTATTACCAACAGTTTTTAAATGGGAAGGAGGTGGTAAACAAGTTTATATCAGCGGAACTTTTACTGGATGGAAAACATTACCAATGGTTAAAAGTCATGGTGATTTTGTTACAATTATTGATTTGCCAGAAGGAGAACATCAATATAAATTTTTTGTTGATGGTGAATGGAGACATGATCCAGATATTGTAAGAAATTATTTTATTAATCTTAAGTGATATTAAAATATTCTTTAATTCATATATGTTTTAATTGAAATTTTTTATACTATAGAAAATTGTTGATAATGGTATGGGTTCCAAAAATAATTTAGTATCTGTAAGAAAATCTGATTTTGAAGTTTTCCAAGCTCTTGCAAAAGATAGTGAAGGTGTTACAAGTAGCGCACAGACAGAATATGGACAAGAAATTCCTCCTCATAAACCTTGGGAGAAAGTTGCTGGCCCACCAATATTACCACCACATTTACTTCAAGTTATTCTTAATAAAGATACTCCTTTATCTGTAAGTAAATATACAAAAATATGTATATTTTAATTTACTAAAGAATTTACTAATATACAAATTTTTATTAATGTTAATTTCAGTGTGAACCAACACTTTTACCAGAACCAAATCATGTTATGTTAAATCATTTGTATGCTTTAAGCATTAAAGACAGTGTAATGGTTTTGTCTGCGACACACCGTTATCGCAAAAAATATGTTACGACTTTATTATACAAACCAATTTAAGGATATTAAATCATTCCTGAAGCGATCAACTATTGCTAGTTACATCAAATTAATTATACATATTTTGTAGATAAGATAAATATCGATATTCAAAATAATTATTGGAAAGTTGACAATGCATGAAGTTTGTTGTATATCAAATGTTATATAATGTAATTATTATTTATTAAAATTATTTTATATTAGATATGTTGCATATAAAATTATTTTCATTAAATTTATATATTTTATTCTATAATAAGTTTTACTTACCTGCATTCATTTTAAAATATTAATAATTTTTTTAAATCATATTATCAGTTATTTCTTTTGATATGGCATAAGGAGGTTCAGATCCTGTTTCAAGAAAATAAGTTCCAGTAGCCGTTTTATCAACATATTCTCCCATCAATGTAGTTTTGGAGTAATTGCAATTTCCTTGCATAAATTGATTCCACGTATTGCATTTATTCGCCACAAATCCAGTTTTAGAACTAATACTTTCGGTAAAATATATAGTCGCTCGAGTGTGACTACATGCCTCTATGTAAATAGAATCATATGTGTAGATGTATTTATTACTAAATACATAAATTATATATTACCTATTATTTCTGGAATACAACAGCAACCAGGTTGAATAGGTGTTCCTGCATTTGGATAGAAATCTACGCTGCCTAAAGGTTGTAGAAATCCTAAGATTCCACCACAAGAATGAATAATATCAACAAATATCGCATCTGAAGGATCTAATCGAGTTTTATTAGATGTAAGTAAATGAAATCCAGGCAAAGCAGGATCTAAACCTGTTATTCTTCCTAAATGACCAGAAGTTATTGAACTTCCCGTATTACCAGCTACATGCGCTCCAAGAGAATGCCCTTTGTATAATAATAATCAAAATATAAAAAAACTATAATAATTATATTTTTAATTCAAATTAATAATATTGTATACCAAGAAAATGAATATTTTCAGTTTCAAGGCCAGTTTCTGCAACTAAAAAGTCGATAAATTCAGCAGCTGCTTTTCCTACCAGTTTTGTATTTTGCATTGGTCCAAGATAAAATGTGCTTGCAGCCAAAGGTTGCCAATCAACCATAATGATATTGTAATCATTATGTTTTAAATATTCTATATAATCATAAAAAATTGTGAAATATGTATAGATTTTATATTAAATCACATTTTCAAATCTTTATTGTTATAATACCATCTTTCAAATTGGCGATATTAGTACTCATTGCACTCGATTTCCATCCATGCGTTATAAACTTCGTTTGTCGAGATGGATCAAAATTAGAATTTTGTAGTTCTTTGGTATCGTTCGTATATAATTGAGTACCATTTTTAGAACCATATCTTGAAATATATTTACATTTCAAAAAAGATTTAAATATATTTTTAAATAAATATTTAAATTATAAATTATAAATACCTAGTATAAAGAATAAAAGATATTTCTGATTCATCAAAAATGTCTCGTTCATCATTTTCTGCGCGTTTTAGTACTGCAACCTGTGGTTGATCATTTCCATCAGGCATAAAAATCCAATCCTGACCATATCCATCGTATCTTTGTTGCAAATTACTATTCCATGTTTTGCAAATTGTAAAATTAAATAAAATGACTAATATGAAATATGTCAATAGATTTAGCATAATCATTGTTTTACATTTAAAAATCACTATTTGATATTAAAAAAATTAAAAACTCATATGCAATAAAAAATTTTCAATAAAGAAATACTTAGAAATCCTAGTTGTCTTATTTAAGTGACGAAAATTTTAAAATAACCTTTTTATAAACCCTGACAATATCACATAAACATAAACAATCTCTTACATGGCCTAGTTTCCTTTATTTTATCTTTATTCCAATCTCGGATGTGCGGAAATACTATCAAGTGGTTGTTTAACAATGCCTTAAACATTATAATTGTATTCAAAGAAGTGTAGATTTTTACCCACTTATCTGTTGGATATGCTTAGTATTTTCATATTATCGCGTTGAAACAGTAACGCATATGTGATATTAAACAGAATTGTCGTTCTTTATACTGATAATCATTTTTAAATTGTTTTGTTATTATTCAGGAAGCCATCCATTTCTTTTAAGATAAATAAAAAGTAAAAAGATTTTTTTTTTTACGAAGTAAATTAAAGAGAAATATAAAATGATTTATACGAACGTAAAATATATTAACATAAATCATTACAAAACACATTTTTTCTCATAATTAAATCACAATTGTAGACTTTGTATATTATAGTTCGCGATTTAGCGTATATCACATACGTTTTTAATTCAAAGATATTATCTCAATTAATTTTAAAGAGATTCAGATTTTTATTTATTATAGATTGATGAATTTTAACCATATGTAATTATCAAAAAAACGGTTGATCTCTCGTGGTACCAGAAATTTTTTTTATCATTAAAGCTTTCTGAAAAAAATGTATAATAAAATTATTTAGTTTTCCATTATAATAATATTGTCATAATAAAAAATATTTACTAGTTGGTATTGTAGTTTCTCCGAATTCTCCATCACCGAAACATCCTACTAATGGTATGTCTGGAAATAATTTTTTGAAAATAGATGACTCCACATTTCGTTCATTAAACATATTTTCTCCACGTTCACAACACGCAAACATAAAACCCATGGAATGTTTTTTTAGAGAAATATGACTCTTAAATAATTTTAATCTCTGTTCAACTAATTCCTTAGTTTTATAACTTTCATCCATAACTATAGACCATGAATCTACTGATCCAACTATAGTAATTCCAACACAAAATGCAAATCGAACATAATCATCATTTGTAGGATTTTTTGAATTGTACACATATAAATCCTTAACTACTCCTCCCCATACAGAAGGTTTAACTGTTTTGTTACTAAATGTAAAAAAAAAAACAAGATTATTTTATAATAAATTATACATTAGATATTATTTAGAATTTTACCATAATTGTAATTCCCCTGCAGCTGTTTGTGCTAAAGCACGACCTCTTTGATTACAAAATAATAAAAGACATTTAGATCCATTAGTTCCATGTCTGCTAAGAGCTTTTTTCATTCGTCTATAATGTTGTACCTTATATTTTGAAAATGCAACAATTGTGATTGTTACATCTGGTATTTCAGGTAAAAATGCACATACAATATTGTCTAAAGCACTTTCCATTTCTTTATCGTTGATAAGTATACCAAATGTGGCAAGTGTTATTGCATCACAATTTTTTGGAAGTATTTTACAATGGCAATCTTTATAAAATCAAATATAATTATTCATTAAATATTATATATATTTTATTAAAACTAATTATATTATAATTAATAATAAATATATATATTTATTTATTTAAAACTATCCTAAAATGTAAAAGAATTAAAATATAATATAAATAATATACCTTGTTTATTATATAATCTACGTGGAGCTTTAAAAATTAATCCTAATGTTGGCTTGATTCTTAATTTTTCGGTAATTTGAATATTAAAATATTCCACACCCATTTCTAAATTTTCTATAAAACAGATAGGACCCCCTCTTGTTCGTTTTTCATCATTTGCCACTTCTAACCAAGATCTGAAATGCAAAACAAGCGCTATACATTAGCATATTTTATGAATTGCGAGAATACCGATATTATAAAAATAATCTGATAAAATTTTGTAATATTTATTAAAAATTATTAAAAATTTAATAAATAAAGATATACTTTTGTCAAATGTTTATCTCTCGACTGGGTAGACTTCTACGACGAATAAATTTTTCTTTCATTTAAGATATAAGAACTTTATATAAATAATGAACGTTTCCACACCTGCAAACCATTGAAGCGTTCGAGAGTTCCATTCCATTCAAATATTTAAATACAATTCTTAAAACGTCATAGGTTAAGTACCGACTAGTATTAAGCTTTTTTCTTTCTTTCGAATTCGATGTAGTACCATCATCTTCATAACTTCTTTTTGCTGGTAAGTTCTCCATTTATTTACACGTATAATGTAAAACGATTGTTTTTATCGCATAAACTTTTTTAAATATTCTAATGTCTTAAATCGTTATTTGTGCATTTAGTATTTACTATTATATATATTATATCGTAGTTGCTTATGTCACGAACAAGTGAAATGGTTAGACTAGTACTTATTTGTATTTTTCGTTTTTATTAATATTTTATTTTTAAAGATGAATTTGAAATATATATTATACAATAAAAAATAACAATAATGTAATGAAAGATTATTATTTTAAAATAATGATTATATTGTAAAAAACCTTGAGTTTTTATAACAGTCATAGAAACTCTACCAGAAACATTGATGAACTTTTATATAAAAAAAAAAAAATTACGTGTATGTAATGGTGAATGCTATTGTATCATATCTAAATTATGATCATTTATGATCAACGATTATAAACAATATATATAAATATATTTCTAGTTAAACACTTAGTTTAACTAATATCTAATGGAAATCGAAAATAAAACATCAATTTTATCAAATGATAGTGGCAATATTTGCCGCGTTTGTCTTGCAACAAATCAAAATAACCAATGCATTTTCAATACTAAACAAACTAATTCTATAGATGAAGACACAATTGATTTATCTGAAAAACTTCGTTTGTGCAGTGGTATAGAGGTCAGTTTAATTTCAATACTTTTCTTTTTTTGAAATATTTTTCATAATGTATTTTCATATATACTACATTTTTCATAATGTATTTCTCTTTTAATAGATATTAGAGAATGATGGTTTACCTTCCACTATTTGCATGAAATGTATATTAAAAATTAATGATGCTCATGAATTAAGACAACAGTGTCAACAATCTGATATCCAATTAAGAGAATTATATGGTAAAGTGGAAAAAATATATAATATTAACTTGTGTAAGACTACAATAGTAAGTATATATTTATTTTGTAAATAAAGAACATGATCATAAAATTATTATTTTTTTTTTTCAGGATCAATATTGTCAAACTGATTATTCTTTTACTTCTGATTTAATTAAAATTGAAACTGCAATGGGTTATAATCCTTATTCAATGATAATTGTTAATTCAGATACTAAAAATATAAAAGATAATGAAATGATTAATGAATCAAAATATGTAGAAGATAAAGAATCTAATAGCAATTTAAATAAACAAAATGGTTATATGAAATGTAAACAAACAGAATATGAAAAAAATATTACAGGAAGAGAAGTTTATCGAACAAAAAAAATGACAATGTTTAAAAGAGTAACATCTATAGAAAATTTAAAAAATCATAAAGAAAGACAAAGGCAATACATAAAAAAGAATACAACTGCTAAATGGGATAATGATCTAGCAGATATTAAAAAAAAAGATTCTCAAAATTCTCATATTTGTCCAAAATGTACAAGATGTTATTCTAGCAAAAGATCTTTGGATAGACATATTTTGACTCATGATGAAAAAAGATTTACATGTGATAAATGTAGCAAATATTTTTTTCATCTTGATAAATTAATACAGCATAGCAAATTGCATATGATTAAGGAAAAACCTAAACCAGTGCTATGTAAAATATGTAATAGAAATTTTAGGAAAACTGATACTATGGTAAGACATTTAAATGTTCATAAAAGAACTAATCCAAAAGAAGTTCTTTCCATTCTAAAGGAAATAAGAGATAAAAGAAAATTGGAAAATATTGAACCAGAAAAAAAGATTTTTGAAGCTGAAAGTAACAAAAATATAAAAGCAATAGAAGAAGAATTTATAACAAATGAAAATATCATTTTAAATATCCATAAAAAAAAGACATTAGAATCTAATGATAAAAAATCCAATTTAAATTTATCATCAGATATTAATGCTGAAAATATTGATTCTTTTAATCATGAAACACTTTACCGATGTAATTATTGTACTAAATATTGTGCAAATGAAAAATCATTTCAAAAACATGTACAAATTCATATTGAAAAAAAATTTGTTTGCAATGTATGTAATATGAAATTTTTTCGTCAAGATAGATTAAATAGTCATAAGAATCGATATGGACATGATGAAAAGGCAATATCATTAGAAACACAAAAACCATGTGATGATAAATCAGCTATTAAATTAATAAATAGTTGGATTAGAGAGGAACTTGATTCAGATAATGAAGAAAAGGGTTTTCCTTGTAAAATTTGTGGAAAATCATATGATACAAAAAAATCTTTGTTAAAACATCAATTGAGTATGCATAATGGAGAAGAAGAAAACTGTCTGACATGTGGTAAAATGTGTACTTGTGATGAGAAAATAAAAAATCAAGATAAACCAAATGAAAGATTAAAACCATTTCGATGTGACGAATGTAATAAATCTTTTGAAAAAGAAATTAAATTACAGAAACATATAAGAATTCACGAACGTGCTAAAGAACAACAAGATGTAAATTTTAAACGATTTTTATGTCATATATGTAGTAAGACTTTCAGGCAAAATACAGGTCTCATGTTTCATATGAGAACACATACAGGCTATAAGCCTCATGTTTGCAAATATTGTGGAAGAGGATTCACATCGAATTCTAATTGTATTAATCATGAAAGAACTCATACTGGTGATAGACCATTTGTTTGTCATTTCTGTAGTGCTGCTTTTGCCAAATCATGTACACTTAAAGCACATATTACAACACATACTGGAGAAGCAAATTATCATTGTAAAACGTGCGGTAAATCATTCAGAAGATTAAAATATCTGAAAGAACATAAATTCACGCATACGGGAGAAAAACCATATGCTTGTAAAATTTGTGGTACAGCATATAGTCATTCTGGTAGTTTATTTGTACATGAAAAAAAATGTAAAGCACAACATAATAGCTATCAATCTAATTCAACACAAAGTGTGCAAGCTTACTGTGAATCTGATATATCTTCGCCAAGTGTGACTCCTATTATCACAGTATTACCACAAATGTATCTGAATAATACAAATTCCATGAATACACAAAACAGCAAAAGCTATATTGATAATATTCAAAAGATAAATTCTCAGAATATTACTAATGTAAATGCTGTTAATACATCAGATTTACATATTCATCCAAATTCTGATATTTCTGATGTTTCTTTAGCTGTTAAAAGTTTCGCTCTTATTGGACAAATGTTTCAATAATAAATCAACTATAATGAATGATTAAATTTTAAATTGAAATGTTTCTGTGATAAATATTCATTTTGCGAATAATATTTCAAATATTAAATCATATATACATGATATATATATATACATGATTATGATAAGTATATATTATTATTAATAATTTAATAATATATATATATCATTGATAGAAAAAAAATTGCGAAATGTTCTTTTATTGTATTTTTAAATAGCATTGTTTATTGTATATTTTATATATTGTAATATATGGGAAGTGGGTCTATTTTATTTTATAAGTTTTATTATTGTATATAAAATTCCAATTGAGAAATTAAAGGTAGGTTATTAAATAAAAGGACTAAGCTTATTTCTTTTTGCATTAGAATTTTTTTTATCAAATATATAATATATATTTCCTTTTCTACTTTCCCTAGTTTTCAATAATTAAAAATATTAATGCTTCTTTACATTAAGATATAAATATGGTTTGATTGTAAAACTGCCATAAAATTGTTGGTTTCTCTTGAATATGGCGGATTTAAATTGCAACATCTTTTCTGTAACTATGTATAAATTACTTTATGGTATACAAATAACGTGTTGTGAAGATAGTAAAACATATCATCTTTTAAGATGATGTACGGCAATATTATCAATTTTACGTTTATTTAATACACGTGTACTTTGAACTATTATATTAAAAATAAAAATTTGTTATAAATGACTCTATGAATATTGGATAAATTAACGTGAACATTTACGTGATAGATTTACATTTAATTATTTTCATTTTAACAATTCTTTTATACATTAAAATCTTATACAATTTTATAAATTTATTATTGCCATATTAATATATATTGCGATAAATAAAATGTTTTTGTGGCGATGAAACTTGTATATTACATGTAGAAACTATGTGGTCAGAAGTTGTAGAATATTTGAAAGATGCTTCTTTAGTGGCAAAAATACAAAAATATTTTGGTGTAAAAATACATTATACGCGGAAAGAATATTGTAAAGAAAATTTATTATCAGAAATTCATGATACTAATTCTCGAAATATTAAATTGAATTCAAATATTTTTTTATTGAAATCTGAAGGAATAAAAGAAAATGGTTATATTGCAACAGAGGAAAAGATAATTAATGAGAATGTTTATACAGATGATAAACAAAAACAATCATCAGACATTTATAATATAAATTATACCATAACAAATTATTTTTGGTATTATTTATTTTTATTTGGAACAATATTAGGAGACGAAATATTTTATTCTACATTTATACCTTTTTGGTTTTGGAATATTGATGGTGCAGTTGGTAGAAGAGTTGTCTTAGTATGGGCTATTGTTATGACAATAGGTATGTTATTCCTCCATAGAGATATAATATAAGATCTTATATTAATAATTTTATTTCTGAATATTTTATAGTTATATTACAAAAGTTTGTACGTAGGTCAAATATTAAAAGATATTATATGTTGGGCAAGACCTGCTTGTCCTCCAGCAGTTCGATTACAAGACAAATGGTCAGAAGAATATGGAATGCCATCCACTCATGCTATGATTGGTATATCAATTCCATTCAGTGTAGTATTATTTACAATGAATAGATATATTTATTCTATTTCCATTGGTTGGACAATTGCAACTCTATGGTAAGTGATATATTATTCTTTGACAATAGATTGATTAAAATTAATAAATGATTTTAAAATTATTATTATTTATTTAAAAGGTGTACAATTGTGTGTATGAGTAGACTCTATTTGGGTATGCACACAGTATTAGATATCCTAGCAGGTTTATTATTAGCTATTGCATTAATGATTCCATTAGTACCTATGGTGGAAATAACAGATTATTATGTTCTTACAAATATTTGGGCTTTAGCAATTTTAATAGCCCTTAGTATAGGTGTTATAGTTTATTATCCATGCAGCAAAAAATGGACACCAACTAGGTAATGAAAGTGATAATTTTATATTTTATAAATATATATACTTTATTATTTTGCTATGATAAATTTTTTATTTTAGAGGTGATACTACTATGGTAGTATCTGTTACTACTGGAGTTCATGTAGGAGCATGGCTTAATTATAATATTGGATCAATGTCAGCTCCTACAAAATCACCACCATATGATATTATATGGCCATCTTATCCAATGTTTGGCTGCATGATACTTAGAACAATACTTGGATTTTGTAGCATTCTTGCAACAAGAGCTGCTTGCAAATCCTTTATTTATGGAACAATATGTGCCATTTTAAAAATTAATCCCAAGGACATGAAAAGTGAAAATTATTCAGAAAATAAAAATAAGATTTTCATTGATTTACTTCATAAATATATGACTTGTTTTATGATAGGTGTAAATACAGTATATCTCTTGCCAAATGTTTTTACCATGATTGGAATAGAAAGACCAACATTTTACACAGAAATATAAAATTTTTTTTTAATTATGAAAATAATGTTTCTCAAACGATTTTTATAGTATAATATAGCTTAAATTGAAATGAATATAATCACTATAAAAATCATTCCAACACTTAATGCTTGTTCCTATACATTCATTATTATATTAACATATAATATATTGTCAGGCATTCTATATTACTTCATATACCAAAAATACAAATCTTGTTTTATATTTGTTAATCTAGATCTAATTTTATTGTTTATATATATTAAAATTGTGGTTCTGTTAATAAAAAAAATCAATTGAAATAGTAAATAGTGCAATTTATATTTTAACTTTTTAAAATATAAATAAATATTATAATATTTTTCGTTATAATAAAATAATTGATTGAATTAATTATTTTGAATATTCTCTAAAGCCTTTTTTACTGGCATATCTAATCTTAATATCTGTTAAAAATATAAATAAATTATATATTATTTTAATATTGTTATAATATATATATATATATATATATATATATATGTAAAATTATAAAATATTCTTACTCTGAAATTATTGTCCAAGATACATTTTGCAGATTCTATGTTTATGATATATGGAATTGATAGATCACATGTGGTACCAGTTTTATCAATGATAATTACAATACGATCTTCATTAAGAAGTACTTCTATCTCTTTACTCGTAATCTATATTAAGTAAATAAATAAATAAAAATATATATATTATCTATTGAAAATAAGCTTTTAATTATCTTACTCCTTTAGGTATCTGGAATAAACCAATTAAATGAATGGATGTTCCTTCTAAAAATTGTTTCAGTAAAACATAATCCAATTTTGAGATAACATTAGTTTCTGAAGAAATATTTTTTTGTTTTTCATGAATATTTGAAATAGGAGTCTTAATTTCTTCAATTAATTTTTTTTTAGTTTCTGTATAAACTCGTGGTTCACGATTTTCAATTCTGTGTTGTTGTAATTTTCCCATTACCTAAATTGATAAATAATTATAATTTATTTTAAAGTTTTATGTATATCTTACATTTCTATGATGATCATAAATATACCTTGCGGTTTTTTAGAATTACATAATCTTCTGTATTTAATATTTTATTAAATTTATTTGATACACCATCCATTATAACTGATATTGTGAATAATAAAAAATTTTTGTTTTTTTGACATTTTTCAAAATATATTGTATTAATCACAACATCGTATGTTACACAAGGAGATCCACCTACAAAATTAATATTTTTTAAAATTATTTATTATTTTTTAAAATTAGATATTATTTTTTTATGAAATTTATTTACATTTATCAGATTCAAATCTTTCACTTCCAATACTCATAGGTATAACAAATTGTGGATTTTCTTCAGACAATATTTCAAAAAGTTTTACATCCGATATATCATCAGGTGATGGAATTTTATCAGATATACAAATATTTAGAAATATTTTTTCTCCAGCATCAGTTTTAGTTTTTACACATATACCTATGTATGTATAATGTATGTATAAAGGTTATGTATTTTGTATATTAATTTTTAAATAAGATTAATAAGAATTACCTGGTATAGGTTGAATAATAAAAAAAGGTTTTGAATCAGATTTTATTAATTTATCATTAATTGATTTATTTTCCTACGAAAATAAAAAATATATATCATATATACTAATTTCAACATAAAATAAGTCTAATTATTATTATTATCACTTACAGGTAAAATAAGATTTTTCGTTAATATTGTATCATCAATGTCCAAAAATGTTCTCTTATTCATGTTCTATTATTTGATAGATTTTTATTATTTATAATATAATACAAAATTTATTAATTATCAAATATTAGAAGTAAAATTATTTTATAATTGCAATGTATAATTTGAATTCATACACAGAGTTGCCGGTATGCGGGACAAAATGGTTAATAGTGGGGGAAATGATATTATACCATGTGATTTTCAAACGAAAAGTCACCGCAGCGAACTTGTTGTCATTTGTCAGCATTTTGTCTCATATATTGCCAAGTTTATACATATTAACGTATTATATGTAAGTGTGTTTACATTAGATATACATTGGTATTTTCCTTCTCGTGAGAGATTTTTTTTTTAAAGATTATTTTAATTAATCTTAATAGAAATCGTGAAAGAAGATTATTTTAAATCTTAGTGCTAGTGTTAGTAGAAATAATTAAATAATATTAGCAATTAAGATGGCAAAATATATAAATGCATCAGATGGATTTAGTCTTAGGTATACAAATATATATAAATTGATTTTACGATACTTTAAAAATATATATATATATATATATATATTAAAGATTTTATTATAAAATATATTTTATAAATAATATAAAAATATATTTTTTTTAGAGATTTAACATTAAAAGAGGGACTTGTATTTGAAGTCACAAATGATTATGAAAATTTTGATGAAGAAGAATTTGGTTATTCTGAAGATTTGCCATTAACTAATGAAGAGGCATTAAATCTTCTAAATATGAATGATTTTGAAGATGAAGATGAAGATGATTGTAATGATGCTAATATAAACAAGCAAATTACAGTTTGTGGTATTAGCTTTGAACAATTAAAAACTAATATGACTGATATTTTTGGAAATGGAAAAGTAAATTGTTTTTTTTTTATTGTTTTTTGTATATTTTTAGTTTTTAAAAAAAAATGTTTTTTTTAATTTTATAGGTTATGAAATTAATAAAACAAAAAGGTGTTGGATCTATTGTGCCATATGATGCACAAATTACTATCAAATATATAGGACATTTTGAATATAGGGATGAACCATTTGATTCTAGTTTTGCTCGTGGTGGTGCAGAAACTTTTCGTCTTAATCAAGGCATGTTAATACCAGGTTTAGAGATTGGTATAACAACAATGCAAAAGCATGAAATAGCTATGTTCATTATACATCCAGATTTAGCATATGGAAAATATGGTTGTGCTCCTCGTATTCCTCCTAACGAAGAAATTTTATTTATTGTACATTTGACTGATTATATAGATAATGGATCTATTGATAATATTAAATGTTTATCTTCAGAAGAAAGAAAACAACTTCCAAATATTGTTAAGAGTGTAAATGCTAAATTTAACACTGCCAAAGACTGTTTTAGTAAACAAAAAGTGAAACAGGCTATAAGAGAGTAAAAAAAATAAAATTTTTTTCAATGATATATATTTATAACAATATTATAATTATCTCATGTATTTTTAGATATTCAAAAGGACTTCAGTGGTTGGAAGAAGTAGAACTGAAAGATCAGGATGAAGAAGATGAAGTAAACAAATTACTTTCAAGAGGCTACAATAATCTTGCAGTTTGTTATAATATTGCAAATATGCCACGTCGTGCTTGTAGTGCATGCAATAGAGTACCTACACCTACAGTTAAAACTCATTTCAAGTATTGTATATTGAAATAAGTTTTAGAGGATATCTACATTTAAAAAATATCTAATGTATTTATTATATTTATTTTGTAGTCATGGACGGGCATTATTGAAAATGGGAGAATTTTCTAAAGCAATGGAAAAATTGCAATTTGCTCTAAAAATGGAACCTAAAAATACGGAAATTATTAAGGAAATTAGAATTGTAAGTTAATGAAATTAAATAATATATATTGTTCTTGAAAATATATCTTATATATATATATATATATATATATATAATTTTTAGGCAAATGAAAAACAAAGAAAATATATGGAAATAGAAAAACGTCTTTGGAGAAATTGTTTAAAAATTGAAGAGAAAGAAAAGAAACAATTTTCTTCTTTCGAAAAAGCTGCGCACGAAATGTGTAAAGCTTTTTCTGAAGATAATCAAATCTTAAGACAACCGCTACCTGAATGTTTAACACCTGAAGAAGATAAATATATACGTGAACAAGCTGCATTTTTCGGTCTTACTGTAACTACGCACCAAAGATATGGAAGGGAAATAACATATCTTAACAAACCTAATTATTAGAATTTAAGTATTATTTTAATTAAAACAAATTATATAAATATGAAATAATAAATATATTTTTATATTATGAAAAAAAAGTTATATTTTATTAAAATGTTTTATTTGATTTAAAATAATTAATAATTAATAACTTTTATAATTTTTTCATTAATCATACAGAAATATATTTCATAAATTAGCAAAATAAAAGAAATATCAAATAGAAAATATAAAGATTTCATTTATGAAAAAATGGTGACTTTATAAGTATCAATAAATTATATATAATATTATTCAATAGTTAATCATAGATGAATCTTCTGTAAATGGTTTTTCGATTTCATTGCCAAATCGTAATCTGTATTTTCGTCTTACAAGATTCCATTCAACAATATTTTCAATTCTTATTGAATCTTTTAATGATAATTGACTTTCCAATGGACTCGATCGAAGTAATTCAAAATTAATAGTATCATGTTGTTGAGTTAATGTTCCATTGTCCTGAACAAAAAAAGTATTGTCGATATGTTTTACTTATTTATTTACATTTCTTTGACATACCTGAATAAACGAATGTCCTGTAAATAAATGCATGACACCAGTTTTACGTACACGACTTCGATGTTTACATATTTTTCCAATATATGGAATCCAAGAAGTAATGAGATTCAACGGCGAAGGTGCTGTACGTGTTCTTAAAATAGATAAGGATTTCGATTTTCGTTAAAATTTTCGTTAAAATTTTCGTTAAAAATCGATTTCGTATAATATATAATGGGATATCTTATCGTGTTAATTGCAAAAAAATTTTATTTTATTGTATTTATCTGCAAAAAATTTGATTTTAAAATCTATTTTTTGCGAGATACTCACTTTTGCATTTTACGAATAAGTTTACTGAGTCCATATTTCCATTCGATATCGCTTTGAGATTGAATACTTTGATATGTATCAGTCATCATGGCAATTAACAAATTGATCAGTACAATTACACTAACCAACATATACAGAGAAAAGGATATCTATTAAGGTATGAAAGTATTAATCAACTTAATATTTGTTTTATTGATCATACAAATGAATGAATATTGATCTGACCTTAAAAAAATATATTGTCCAATTTGGTTGCATCTTTCTTTTTAATGATATTGTAAAATCATCCGTATCCTTTTGGCCGAAAATAGCGAAGAAAAGATTTTCCGTAATATCAATGGGATTCACTTTCACTGAAAGAATATTATCAAGCGTCTAAAATTGTTAAATTTATTTCTTCTGAAACGCAAAGATTGTCATATTGTATTTAATTATATGATTTATTTTCTGTAAAGTTGTAATTTAATCATTGCGTTCTAATTATTAATGCCATTGTTTGAAAGTAAAAAATGTATACAGTATGTGAAACAATGAAAGCAATGAAAATGAAGAGGAAAGGCAAAGAGAATAAAAATCAATTATTATATCGGAAAAAAAGAATGAAGATGAGTATTATTATAATTGTTAATGAATTTCCGATATTTTAAATAATTATTGTATATATATATATTACATATTATATATATAATAATTATTGTATATGTATAGTATATTAATATTTGTTTGTGATATCGATGTCAAGATATAGTGATATCTTGTATGATCTTAATTGTGCGATTCTAATTAATGAAGACAGCGTGTCATGATCAACTAAGATTCGAACGGCAAACGGTCGACGAACCGATTTCATGATACGATTAAATGTTACAAATACGTACTCGATTTTGCTAAATAATAAGCATCGTGATGTTTAGTCAACATGCACACGTGCATTTAGTAACAATATTTTGTTTAATATAATGGAATTAGTTTATCGATTTATTCATTAGTGTGCCAATGAAAGAGCAAAACAATACAAATGATTATATATATATATACAGAAACTAACCATTAAAGATATATCAAATTCCTATACATTGTTGCTATACAACATCATTTCCTTGGTAGTCTTCTCTAAAACATGGTCGAAACGATAATTGTTGTATCGATGCAAGAAAAGGTAAAAGGACCATGAATAACAATAGAATCAATAAAATGATCCGGTCATCTCTGATGTTTATTTCAAGATCAAATGCAAGATGCAAGATTGTACATTTATATTGGAAAATGATAAATTCGTACGTTTTATTTTAATAATTTAATATCAGAAGAATATATTCAATTAGGTAGAATATATTCAAATAGATCCATTTTCTAATCAATATATCGATTGTGAAAAGTAATCGATTCAAGAAACAGAAGTAGGTATAGTTTGGTTTCCAATGGGAACACCGGCCAATGAACTTTCCAAAACAGCCGGTAGAGGGTCGTGTTCGATAATATCTTTCGATTCTTCAGCATGTTTTTCGATCTTTTCACCATAAAGATCTCGATACTTTCGTCGGACCGCTTCCCAATCGACAACGTTATCGATTCTGACAGCATTACTAAACGATAATTGACTGCCAAGAGGACTTAAATGAACAACCGACAAGGCAATACTTTCTTTATGAGCCACTTGAGTCTTTTTTACTTTGGATAACCATTTGGTGCCCATTTTGGAGCGTGGTGAAAGAGCATCAGTTCTTTGCAACCCCATCAAGCGGACAAGAGAAGGTCGTTGTTTTTTCGCAGCCCGTTTTTTGCAGTGTTTGAACAAATATGTTATCCAGGTGGTAAGAAGATTCAATGGTGATGGCGCTGTGTTTGTCCTACGCATCGATAAACGTAGCTAATCAATTAGAATTTTCGCAATCGATCGAACGAATTAACCTGCGCGGACATGCAACGTTATAGTATCGATAAATCGATACCGATTCTATTTCAATTTTAATTCTCGAAAGATACATTATGGAAGATTCCGGCATTTTTTACCAATCAGCAACAATTATAAATCCTTACCTGTGCATATTTCTAACGAGCTTACTCAATCCGTATTTCCATTCGATGTCGGACTGAGCTTGTATCCTTTGGTAAGTGTCACTCATCATGGCAATTAGAAGATTAATCAGCACAACCACCGAAACCAGCATATAAATACCGAAGGTGAGCTTGAAGAGAACTTTGGTCCATTCGGGCTGCGTTATTTCAACCTTGAATTGTTCGTGGGTCGTCTGACCGAAGATGGCGAAGAACAATAACTCAACGGCCAATACGGGACTCATCCTGACTGGAAATATGTGGTAACGATATGTTTTGTGAAAATTCCATGTATCGCGATGTATTCTTCAATCTGTCTATATGTGCGTAGATGTTGCGTATACGAATGTATGTATTTATGTGTAAATACGTATGTGTTTTTGTTGTCCTCAATGTTTAACACTTATAGTATCACTGTGATTAAATACTAATTCGTGAAGAACGCGTTATTTCAGGATCATAAAAAAAATAAGGAATACATTTTTAAGGATCAACCAGATTATTTTGGACGAATTATCAATTAAAAATCCTACTATTTTAGCAGAGAACCATGGAAAGTTCTAATACAATCGAAAAGTAAATAGTCATGTTGTCAAATATTTATGAACAGACGATACGACGATCGTATTTTTATATTTCTAATTCGAGATATTACTTACGTAAATTCCAAAATGATAGCACTTTTTCATATCACGCGAATTAGTTAACCTTCAAATATTATGAATCTAATTACGAAACATTATCTAAAATAAATATTTCCGCATAAAAATTATTTTTCACTTTACGATATTCAGCGCGATAAGAATATTTATGCATCATCGCACTCGATAAATCTATAAAATTTGATAATAATTGGTCGAACTTTTTTATATTTTTCCGAGGCGAAGGAGCAACTTCTTTTAAACAGGTGGCGTTGTAGTCGTTGGTAACGTGGAAGAGTTAGAAACCATAGGTGCGTTTTCATCCTCGTTCTCCTCATCTTCGTTTTTAGCATCCTTGTCCGCTTCTTTTTCAGGCTCATTACCGGCCAAAGCTAAATATTTTTTACGGATCGAGTCCCAGTCAACCACATTCTCTATTCTCGTAGCGCTATTGAAGGATAATTGACTACCAAGAGGACTCAAATGCACAACAGATAAAGTTACACTGTCCTTTGGTCTAACTTGACCTTTCTTCACTTTCGCCAACCATTTCGCTCCCATCTTCGATCTAGGCGAAAGACGAGCAGCTCGCTGAAGTCCCATCATATGCACTAACGAGGGACGTTTTCGTTTCGCGGCGTGTTGTTTGCACATCTTGATGAAGTACACGATCCAAGTAGTGAGCAAGTTAAGGGGCGATGGCGCGGTGGTCGTTCTGCAACACGGAATCGCGTGTCCAACCTATCCCGTAGATTTATTTTATGAAGAACAACTACACGATGAGGAAACATATGCGGCGCGAAAACCATTCAATGACAACGAAAATTAGATGGAAGATGAAGTGAGACAAGACATTCTTTTCATTTTCTTAACGATAAGAAACAGGAAACAGTCGAAATATATATATAAATTTCGACAAAGAGATCCGATTCTCGTCTCTTTAATTCGTATTCGGTACACATTTGCCGGCTTACCTGTGCATGTTTCGGATCAGTTTACTGAGCCCGTATTTCCATTCAATATCCGATTGGGCCTGTATCCGCTGGTAGGTGTCACTCATCATGGCAATCAGTAGATTAATTAATACGACTACTGAGACCAACATGTATACACCAAAGGCCAACTTGAACAGGACCGAGGTCCACTGCGGCTGATTAGTCTCGACCTTCAGCTCGCCGTGGGTTGTTTGACCAAAGACGGCGAAGAACAGATATTCGAAGGCGAGTACAGGATTCATCTTTACTGGAATTCGAGGCACACACGTTTCTTCATTTCTCTTTCTTATAATCTTTTCTCTTGTGACTGCTGCTTCGTGCTGCCGTTAGGCTGGCTACTGGTGGACTCGCTATGTATGGATGCGGGTGTGATATATATCATACGTACATTAGAACGAACGAACGATCGAACGAACGATGAATGTACGAACATGCTCATGCTAATACAGACTGGCCATGCTTGCGATAACGTTGAATGCATGCCGGACGTTCCACGTGAGCTTCGATCCACGTCGTGTGATTTTTCGATGTCGTTTAATCAGGGTAATACATTTTGTTATTAATTATTATCATTATTATTAATATTATCATTAATATTATTTCTATTCCTTTCATTTTTTTTTTTTTTTTTTTTTTTTAACTTTTACGTTCAAAACAATGTGCGGTAACAAACTCAACGCGGCTGATACATCGAGGATCTACAAAGGCAAGTATGACTTATCGATCATCCGATTGCGTGGAAATCCCCGCGTGTTCTTCTCTCTCTACCCACTTCTTCGAACTCACGGAGTTCACAATTGATTCGTTTGTTTTGGACGATGAGATGCGGCATGCAGAGGACGATCGTTTTTTTTCTCTTTTCTTTCTCCCTGTTCTCTCTCTCTCTCTCTCTCTCTCTCTCTCTCTCTCTCCCTCTCATATACACACACACATACACTTCCGCACTCTCCAACTCTCCGTTCTTTCTTTCGAGCATTCAAATGAGACCGCAAGGCGATGTAATCGCACGAGCGAACATGTACGTAGAAATAGAACTATTTACCGTGCGCATGCAAGGAAAAAGACTGGGAGTTTCACCGTTCCCTAAGACATCACGAGGAAAAATACACGCAAAGCAACCGCAACTTCAAACGAAAAATCAAGGATTCGGTGGATCAAGGAGGGGAGAACGGCGGAAAGGAGTGGAGAATCGAGAACGAGCGATGGCCGAAATCCGAGAATGGTTGGTTGGTTGGACGAAATCATCACGAAAAAATGATGGGATAAGAAACGGGTGGATCACGTGGATCAGGCCCGACCGTTTTTTTCTTTCGGTCGTAATTCGAGTTGGCCGATTAGCGACACACAACAAAACACGCATTGCGCAAGACTCGAAACAGCGAACGAGAAAGACAACATTGCTCTTGTTTGTTTATAGAGATGCACATACGATGCACAACAGAGGCTAGTGGAGAAACGCGCGCTCGATTGGCGCCTCCGTGACATATAAGAAAGAAGCCGGCGGTGGTCGCCAACCTACACTCGGCGGGGCGCTCGAAATCTCGAGATCGAGATTTATCAAGCAGTAGACACCGAGTTGCTGCGATTCGGACTCGAGGCCGGATAAATTTGGGATTTTTGAGACGCATCGTTTTTTTTTTTTTTTTTTTT